GGTAGAGTGCTGCGGCATCACAGCTCACAGCAACCTCAAACTCCTGGGCTTAAACAATTCTCTTGCCTCAGCCTCCCAAGTAGCTGGGACTACAGGTGCCTGCCACAATGCCCAGCTATTTTTTGGTTGTAGTTGTCACTGTTGTTTTGCAGGCCTGGGCTGGATTCGAACCCGCCAGCTCTAGTGTATCTGGCTGGTGCCTTAGTTGCTTGAGCTATAGGCACCAAGCCTCTTTTTTTAGATAGAGTCCCATTTTGTTGCCCTTGGTAGAGTGCTATGATGTCATAGCTCACAGCAACCTCAAACTCTTTGGCCTGAGCAATCCTCTTGCCTCAGCCTCCCCAATAGCTCAGACTATAGGCACCTGCCACCACATCCAGCAAATCTTTCTATTTTTAGTAAAGATAGAGTCTCACTCTTGCTTGGGCTGTTCTTGAACTCCTGACCTCAAGCAATCCAGAGTGTTAAGGATTACAGGTATGAGCCACCTCACCCAGCCTCAAACCAAATCATTTTTTTTTTTTGAGACCGAGCCTCAAGCTATCCTCCTGGGTAGAGTGCCATGGCATCATGCTCACAGCAACCTCCAACTCCTGGGCTCAAGCGAGTCTCTTGCCTCTGCCTCCCAAGTAGCTGGGACTGCAGGCGCCCGCCACAACGCCTGGCCATTTTTTGGTTGCAGCCGTCATTGTTGTTTGGCGGGCCCGGGCTGGGGATTCGAACCCGCCACCTTAGGTGTATGTGGCTGGCGCCTTAGCCGCTTGAGCCACAGGCGCCGAGCCAAACCAAATCTTAACTATTTTTCTTACATCTATTTATTTATTGCTACCACCCAAGGACCATCTTTTATCATCTCACAATTAAATTATCATAACATGTGCCCATGTAGTTTCCTATATCTCTACCAAATTAATCCTCCAGCTGCCCCATGTCAACCTATAATCACAGCATATCTGATACCTTCCCTTTTTTCTACTTCAAAGCTTTTGCATCCTCTGCCTGCCTTTGAATCTACCAAAAGCAAATAGCTCTTTTGCTATAGCAAGCTCTGGATAAATAGGTTCTGCTTGTTCTCATTTGGGTGAGTAAGATTACCTAAGAAGCTCATTTATTTCCATAGAATGATTAATCGATGAGAGAAACAGCACACTTTTTAAAAAAAATTTTTTTAGAGAGACAGAGTCTCACTTTATTGCCCTTCGTAGAGTGCTGTGGTGTCACAGCTCATAGCAGCCTCCAGCTCTTGGGCTTAGGCAATTCTCTTGCCTCATCCTCCCGAGTAGCTGGGACTACAGGCGCCCGCCACAATGCCCAGGTATTTTTTTGGTGCAGTTTGGCTGGGGCTGGGTTTGAACCCATCACCGTTAGGTATATGGGGCCGGCGCCCTACTCACTGAGCCACAGGCACCGCCCAAAACAGCATACTTTTTCTAGTGGGTTTCTGTCTTTGTGGGATGCAGGCAGCATCCTGGCTATTGTGTGGGAGAAGCCTGTGTGAGGACATGAACAGCGTGGAAATAAGCAGAGCAGGAGATGGAGGCGGTGAGAACAAGTCCTAATGATACTATTTGAGATCTTGGTTCCACCAGTGGCTGAAGTCAACTCTTCCTCTTGACTTTTTAGTTTCATAGCCAATGAATTCTGTGTCTTGTCTTGCATTTGCTAGTTTGAGTTTCTGTGGCTTGCGACTAAGATTCCTCACCAAGAAACTCTCTTTTTGAATTATTGTTATTATTATTTTTTATTAAATCATAGCTGTGTACATTAATGCAATCATGGGGTACAATGTGCTGCTGGTTTTACATATAATTTGAAATGCTTTCATCAAACTGGTCAACATAGCCTTCAAGGCATTTTGTTAGTTATTGTGTTAAGACATTTATATTCTACACCTAGTAAATTTCACATGTACCCTTGTAAGATGCACCGTAGGTATGATCCCACCAATTACTCTCCCTCCACCAGAAACTCTCTTTGTTGAGTGTCCCCCATCCCTTGCCATATAGACCACAAATAGGCCAGATCTATTTCTACACCGAGGCAGAGAGGGAGGGCTGGAAAGCTCTAATGCTTTGGTCATAGATGGCAAATTGAACTCTGGCCTAGAAAAGCTAGGCCCCATGTCACAGCTTTTTAGTTCACATTTGTAAGCTCAGCCATTGTTCTACAAAGCAGGACATAGCAGAATGGCTGGACCCAAAGAGGTTACAAGCCTTAGCTGCATCTCATGTTGAAACCAGCCTCCCCACCAACTATAGGCCTTTGTGTTGGACCCTGATTTCCAAACTTACTGCCCCCTTCTTGGTAAATTCTCCTTTGTCTGGGGTATTCAGATTAAACCCAGAAAAATTTTCTGAATTTCAAATCTTGGGATTTTTATTTCCTTTCCTACCATAAGGCTCTGGGATACTATGCAAATTGGTCCACCCTCTCTCGAGGGATCCTCAAGCTAGGGAATCTCTGGGAGATGCTCAGTTTTTATCAAGGGTGTTGTTAAAACTAAACTGTGGGCTCAGTGCCTGTAGCTAAGTGGTTAGGGCGCTGGCCACATACACTGGGGCTGGTGGGTCTGAACCTGGCCCAGGCCTGCTAAAAACAATGACAACTAGAACAAAAATAGAGCTGGGCATTGTGGTGGGCGCCGGTAGTCCCAGCTATTTAGGAGCTGAGGCAAGAAAATTGCTTAAGCTCAATCTGAGGTCGCTGTGAGCTGTGATGCCACAGCACTCTACCCAGGGCCATAGCCCTGACTCTGTCTCAAACAAACAAACAAAAACTAAACTGCGCATTTGTAGCATAGTCATGTGTAGCTGCAGGAAGAAACACAGAAGCGGCTTGTAGGAGAAGAAAGTATAATATACATGTTCACACAGCCTAGAGAAAGGGTCACAAACATGCCATGAGGGTCACAAGGGAACACACCAGGGTGGTAAAGGAGGCAGGAGACTGGAGTGAGGAAGAGCTTGGCTGTAGCCATTCAAGTTTCTGAGGGAAAGGAAAGGCTGGGCAATGTAAATGTTTGAGGATTGGCCAATTGTATAATTTCAATAGGCTCTAAATTAGGTGGATGGTTCTTAGTTGCCCGGTACCAAGCCCTGGGATGTTTAAAGCAAAGGAATACTGCCACTAAGGGTGTAAGGACCAGATAGAGGAAGTGTTCCTGCAGATTGGTTAGTTTGCGTGCTCCCAGCTCCACCCTTTGCTGTCTCTAAGAATTGGTTGGCCTCAGGATAGGCAGTCTTTCCCCAGTTAGAAAGATTTTTAAAGATGTCAAAACAGTGTGATACACAGAAACTTAAAAATATATACAATGCATCAACTAACAAAATATTCCCTTTCCTAGGACAAACGTATGCCTTTATATTTGCATACTAAAAAAAGTCATGTAAGTGATTTGGCACAGTACAGAAAATCTGCTCGTAGATGACTTTATCTCTGCTTATTCAGAGAAGCAGCTTCTGTGGTTTAAAAAAAGTAAAAGAGGCCCGGGCCTGCTAAAACAACAATGACAACTGCAACAGCAAAAAAATAGCTGGGCGTTGTGGCAGGCGCCTGTAGTCCCAGCTACTTGGAAGGCTGAGGCAAGAGAATTGCTTAAGCCCAGGAGTCTGAGGTTGCTCTGTGAGCTACAGCACTCTACCCAAGGCGACAGCTTGAGACTCTATCTCAAAAAAAAAAAAAAAAAAAAAGTAAAAGGAAAGGAAAAAAAGCTCTTATTTTCTAGTACCCCACATTGTGAACAATTTCTGCTTGTTAAGTTGGTCTCCATTTTGCTTCCATATCCTGGCTTCTCTGTACCTTTGTGTTTAACCTTTCCTCTCCCATTTTGAAATCCTACTTTTTCTTTAAGGATCAATCCAAAACTAATGAATTAATTGCATAATCATTTGCTCCCTTATTTTGCTCAATACTATAGTCTTTTCTTTTTCTTTTTTTTTTTTTTTT